CTTCCTGTCATGCAGGGCAGTTAATTTCTTTTCATTCAGTGTTTCCCCAGGGTTTTGCTTTGTTAAATGTCAACAAGAAACTATCCCAGCACTGACATACCTGTCCCCCCCACCCCCCGTCTGCCTCTCTCTCCCTGCCTACCCTGTTCCTTTCTCTCCCTCTTTATCTATCACAGTGAACTTGATTTTTCTATAGGACTTCTAGCATCACCCTTTATTTCCTTGTTATACCTTTACCAATTCAGCAGGCATACTGTAGCCTTCCTGGATACCATATTAAAGGTTTATCATGAAAGAAAAAACCTTCCTGCCAAAGAAAAGGATCATACTCAGTGATAGGATGCCCATGTGCACCTCATTTTTTATTTATTTATTTTTTGTTTGGTCTCAGGATAAGCTAAACTCTGTCAATCTGATATCTAAAGACCCTTAACGACTTCATTAAGAATAAAAGCCAAAGACCACATATATAAAATTCATTAGAATAATTGAATATTTTGCAATGAGATCAGCAGCCAGGAAACTGCTAGAATATCAACAGCACTGAGTTTCTAGAATTCAAATCATCACATTCCTGGTGCTTGTCTGTTATCAGACAAATTGATCTTGGATTAGAACAAAAGATAAGTTTTGTAAGGTAGATCATATTACCACAAATAGTGTATAGCAGTCTTTTCTTGTGACTGGAGTTTAAGTTTCTAACAGGGTGGTTTTTTTTAACTCATTTGTGTATTAAAAACAAAACAAACAAACAAACAAAAAAAACCAACTTTATCCTGGACAAGGAATGTGGGTTTTATAACTGTATTAAGGAGTTCCTTTCCCCCCAGATGCCTTTCAATGCATTAGCAAACACATATTTGTCTACCGCTGAATGGTACATGTTCATGGAATTATTTGCAGAACGTCACAGCCTTTCCTGCTTCCCATGGGAATGCTTCAGTGACTAATAGGGCCTCATTGTTTTATGAATTTCCTACGTTACTGCATATTTGCAGGATATTAGCATTTAATTCTTAGACATATAATTATGCAAGTAGTTTGGCATCACTCCTTCTTAAATCCATGTCTTAAACATTTGTGATATAACTACACATGTAATATTGAATTATATATCATATTTAATATAATTAAAGTCCTTATAAATAAGTGTGTTCAGATGACCAGTTGATCATGATGTTTTGTACCTTTTTGTTTGTACTAAAGGGATAATCTCCTGATGGCTGCTAAGGATGGCATTCTGGTTCTGGGGCAGAGCTCAGACATGCCCCTTGGTGGGTATATACTGCCACTGTCTTTCTGGTATAAGTAGTTAACATATTCTGTGTCTCCGAAGGATACTCTCACAGGTCTTGGTGCTTGTCCACCAGCTGTAAAGGAGAAGACATGTCCGAAGGCCTATCCTGGCAACATACATTTCAACGAAACAAGTTTGAGCTCACTGCTCCTTTGTTGCTAGGAGCAGGTTTAGACCCTCATATGATTAGAACACTGGTCTGGCCTAGTGTCTCTGAGGAGGATGAATGCACCCTTCTGGTCTTTACTACCACTATATACTGGTCACCTTTATCCAAACTTCACAAAGTCAGTGATAGGTCACATAAAGCTCTTGGCCAAGAGAAGAGAATTTCTGGCCCTTCCTTCAACCAGGCCAGAATACTGTCCCATCAGAAGTTTGCCGGTAGTCTTTGATGGTCTTCGCCCCAACCTAGCCCCTGACAACTCAAAGTGTATTTCAGCATTAGGTGCCATTCACAATAATGTAAATGTGACAAGCTGCAAAGCAGAAACAAACAGACAAACAAGACAAACAAAACAAAGCTTTTAAATAGTGGGGGATTAAACCCACAGGAAGTTGAGCAGGACAGAGATATATCCAGGGCCATTACCCAGGAAGGAAAATTTTAAGGGAGCATGTGCAAAAAGAAGAGGTCAAACTATTTGTCCAGCCTTTCCTTTGACCTTAGGATAGGTTGTAGCTGAACCCAATTAAGGTTACTGGCCTCCCTATCAGCCCCAATCTTCTGGGTTCTGGGTTCCTGAATGAAAGACACACACACACACACACACACACACACACACACACAGCCTTTATATTTTAATATGCCCTAAACAGCTCAATGGCTGGGCCACTTCCTAACCTCCACGTGGCTGATGTACACTCCTCTAATATTCCCAAGTTATTTCTTACTAAAACCTATATTCCATCTGTGCTGTCCTGGACCCAGACCTGCAGGCCCCTCGGCCGCGTTCCCTGGCATCTTCATGATGACTCTATCTCTCTGTGTTTTGTACCTCTCAGGCCTGGTGTTTCTTTTCCTTCCCTGGGATGGCAGCTACCTGTCTTCCTGCTTCTTCTTTAGTCCCTTGCCCAGGAATCCTGAAGTCCTGCCTCTGTCTCCCTGCCCAGCCATTAGCTGCTGGCAACTTTATTTACCAAGCAAAACCAGCTGAGGGCAAGGTCCCTTGACATCTTACATGTGGACATTTGGATTCTCGTGCAACTTTTGGGACCAAATTAACATAATACAAACAGCATTAGGCCATGGATAATCTTCACCATCTAGTTAACTGGACTTAGAAACACCTAGGGCACACTCTGCACTGCTGAATGTGTCAACGAGGGTTTTCCAGAGAACAGGTTTTCTCTGAGAACAAGAGAGCCACCCCAATAGTGGACAGCCCTACTCCATGGGCCAGGAGCCCAGGTGGTTATTCCTCTGCTTCCCAACTGCAGGCTCTTCCTCCCACCCGCCTGTCTTTAAGCAGCCGAATCTAAACCCATTTTGTCTTCCTTTTATTCCGGTTGTCAGGTATTTGGAAATAGTCGTGAGAAATGTAACAACTACAAGATGTAAACTGTTGCATAATTTGTCTGACAACTGTTTTTTCTGCCCCCCGCCCCCGCAGACACAGCTACCTTAGTGGCTGTGCCTACCCATGGGCCCTTTACACACTGTGAGTACCAGGTGGATGGCTGGCTTGGGGGCTGTGCTGAGTTCAGCCCATGTGCTGTCATCAGTCAGCAGGGAGCTGGGGGGATGGGGGATGTTGCAAGCCAAACTCACAAAAGTTGAGTTCACATTTTAACCACGCAGAGCATTCTTATATAAGTGGACAACTTGCTACCTGAGAGTCAGAAAAACTCAGATTTCACACAACATTTGCTTTTTGTGAATCTTGTGTACTTGTTCATTTCTCACGTTGTAACCCTACCTGGGGTGGCTCGTGGCCATTCCCCTAGAATGAGAAATGCACATACATTCTCCCATTTTACTTTTGGTTTCTTTGTGTGACCACACACACACACACACACACACACACACTCCCATACTGACGACTAAACCAAGGGCCATGCTAGGCAAGTGCTCAAGCATCAAGAAGATTATTTTCTCAATAATCTAGCCCCACTTCTGATGCATCTGTGTGCCTCTGCTCAATTCTTTGGGGACCCGGAACCCAGAACCCTGTGGGTGTGCCTTGAGAACCTCAATATCAGATGACAGTTGGTAAGACAATTGAATCATGTGACATGGGTTCTTTGCCCCCTTGAATACTGATGTAATGACTGTGTGCAAAGAAGTCCTGCCTCACAGCTAAGAGAGGTTATTTACAGTTTCTCTTCCTCTCCCCTGGGGAAAGAACATAGGCCCAGTTTCTGTGGATGGGGCTGAGGTATGTGTTTTGAACATCATCCTTGGCAGTCTACACTCCAAGATTCTTCTTCAGCCTCTTTATAGTCAAGGGCGCTTATTTATCTTCAGGGGGTCTTTGTTTAGTCAGTCTTTAGTAAAAGCAAAAGTTATAAAATGTACTAAAGAAATAACCACCATTAATGCTATGAGGCAGAGTCCCTTGAAGCTTCAGGAAGTTGTCTCTTGTCTTGTTTTGTTTTGTTTTGTTTTGTTTTAAGACAGAATCTCACTATGTAGCTCTGGCTGCCCTGGAAGTTTTTATGTGGACCATGCTGACCTCCAAGTCACTGAGATCCTTCTGACTCTGCCTCTAGAGTGCTGGGATTAAAGATCTAGTCTATATAGCCAGTGCCAAGCCAGCCAGTGTGACATAGTGAGTACCAAAAATAAATATGTGGAAAAGTAAAATAAAATAAAA